GCACTTTTACGGTTCGACTCCCACTAGAGGTGTTCACAAGACCGATGCGAGGTCGAAACTGCAGTCCACCCTGGATGAGATCACCTTTGGGAAAGCAATGCTACGTGAAATTCAATGAAAACGTCAGTTATATTCATATCATTGTGGGAAAATTCTACTACCAGCCCTTCATCACTTTAAACTAAATTGGGTGAATACATCTCATATTACTGACAAGATATAATTATGTGGTCTTTCTTAAGTTTATACATACCCCATAGCGTGTTCAGTATACACTTTCATTGAATAAGCTTAATTATTCAATTCGAGTCATCACTTAAAATGGTTAAAGTAAAATAATGCTTTAATTCCTCCAAAAATGGATAAGACTTGCATAAGGCTAAGACTTGCCCTAATAGCTAATTTCTTTATTCATTTTAATTAATTTATTACTTTTTTACTTTTTACTGTATTACGTAAATTAGAATGCTCCAAAAGTTTTTTTGTGAATAAAATAAGGCAGTTGGCTTAGTTAAAAAATAGATCCAAAATAAATATTTAAATCGATCGTTTTTGTTCTACCAATATTGTTATGTAGGCATCAATTTTCTTGTTCCATAACAATAGTTTTTTCAGAGAGACTACGCTCTGCTGAACTAGGCTTTCTGTTTTTAAAAATTGTCTTTAATGTTGGCAAAAGTGCTTCTTGTGCCATGTATTGTTTATTTGATTATCGTAGAGGTGAGTGCAAGCCGTGTCTCAATTTCCTCTCACTACTATTCTACTAGTGTAATGGCATATAGAACGGTTGGCGTGACCATTATCCTGAATGTAGGAATTCAGCGCACTTTAATAGTCAGAATACATCTGCCTGTACTTTATTAAGTCACATCACTATGCTTTGTGTATAGTAATCTGTTACGGATTGCGTTTATCGGCCCAAGCCATTCTTTTCAATGTTTTTCAAAGACAGACTCACTTTTATACTTGACTTATCTCCTCATTTTTAGTATCCCTCCTCTCCTATCCCTATGGCCTCAAGCATCAGGAAAAATGGCAACTGTGACAATTTTGATTTGGCTGTTAACGCTGATTTACCAAATGAAGCTCGAAAATTAGGATTTGAAGAGAATGCAGTGCCAAGTATGTTAGCATTCTCCTCATTTCTGGAAGCTATTTGCAAAAGTGGTGAGGACTCGCGAATTTTTATTGACGGGGGTGGAAATGTATCTTCCGACTTTTCGGACCAATCAACCCTGGAACCTAGTGTTCGGCTGGTTGTGCTCGATCCCGGTCGCTATCTACATGGTAGGCTTTTATATATTTTCTCTGCTGAAAGATATGATTGAGTAGGGGCATCATTTAATAAAAACTTGAGTAAAGACAGAGATTGTCATTGATGTTGGAGAGGGATTCTTTCAAAATCAATTTTTCTATATATCAGAGATTACCATTATTTGTCTGGGAGGTATTTAACTTTTTTATTATAACACACATA